CTATGAGATATACTTGATAAACTTGTGAACTTACACTTTCTCTCTAGTCAAAGAAACCTCAAACTCATTGCCATGGACTTAGAGCTGGTGCTCAAGGCTGTCAATCGCATGGGAGGTTTCTGTCCATCACCTTTGGATTTGAACCCCAGAGATGCCACTTCTGAGTCAGCAGTTCAGCTCTCTACGGACTACACCATGGGGCTCCCTTTTTTTCTCTCCTAGAAAAGGCAATTCTCCTTCCTATTAAATGATCAAGAACTTTCAGAAAAATGAACAAATATGTCTTTGAAGAAGTCCAGAATGTTCCTTAGAAGCAAGGAGAGTAAGCCTAGGTCTCATGTATGTTGCATGAGTAATCAAGAGGGTCCAGCCCCGGGAGAGAAGGCCGTCATGCTTGGTCAAGCGGACATGTATCCAGAAACACATCAACTGAGAAACAGTCATTGGATTTGTACTTGGGAACTGAAAGGTTGGCGGTTTGAACTCACACAGTGACAGTGCAGAAGAAAAGGCCTGGTGACACTCCCACAGAGATGGCAGCCAAGAAAACCCTGGGATCGTTCCTACCCTGTATCATGGGGGTTTGCCATGTTGTTGTTGTTGTTATAGTTGAGTGCTGTCAAGTATGAATTCATAGTGACCCTGTGGATTGGCCATGTTGTTGCTGTGTACCATCAAGTCAGAACCAACCCACAGCTGACCCTTCAGCAAGTTTTCGGAGGCATTAAACTGTATGATAAACTGTATCCGCAGGAGCAGTATGTAGACTTGAACCATGTACCTTTTCTTTGTTAGCACAATTCCTTACTGCTAAGCCATCTGAGCTCCCCATGGGTAGGAGTCAGTTCAGAGGCACAGACCAGCCACAGGTGCGAGGAGCACCAGTGAAGCCTGGGTGGTTCCGTGGTGAGAATTCCTGTCTCCATGCAGGAGCCCTGGGCGTGTTCTCACCCAGAGCGCCTCCTGTGCCGCTCCCACTTGTCCATCTGCCTGTGTGCGTTTACAAAGCTGGAGAGCTCGAGAGGTTTCCACAAGGCTTCCACACTAACACAGACTAGAAAGAAATGTCTGATGACCGACTTCGGAAAATCAGCCAGTGAGAGCCCGAGGGAGCACAATGGGGCATTTTCTGATCTGGAACCAGTCACCGGGATGGCACCTGGCCAGGGACTGTTTCATCCCATCAGGCATGAGTTTTCCACATGTTAGGGCCAGCTCATTGGCCAGCAACAGCAGCAACACATGCCAGGATGGTCTTGTGATGGATTTAGGTCATAAGACATTACCCTGTAGGTCGTGTGGATCTTGGCCAAGAGCAGTGTTCACAAAACGGGGCTCTCTGGTGGATTTGGAGTACCATTTAAAGACCTAAGACCTCAGAAAGGAAGTGCAGAGGGAGTGGATAAGTATATCTGAGATCCAGAGAAAGGCTTCACCAAAGAGGATAACAGAGAAGGATATAAAACGTTTTAGGAAACGGAGGGAACCTTCCAAGAAAGTGGAAGAGCTTGGGCTGAGGAGAGTGTAGGCAGCGTCAGATAGATTTGAGTAATGACTCTGGATGACCTGCCTGGACTAGGGGGCTCCTGGGTGCCACAGCCCTTTCTGGACTGACAGTGTAGCGGGTGAGGGTAGGCAGCGGTGGTAGGACAGACATGTTGCCCAAAGTTAACTGATTCACAATTAGATGTCCATAACTCATACCCCTGGCCTTATTGCTGTTTTCCTTTTATCTGGGTTAACAAGGCCAGCTAAGCAGGCCGTATTTGGATTAAGCCACTTCCTGTGGCCTCAGTGTGAAATATCACCAGTCACAGCCACCTTAACAAACACATGAAATGCAACTTCCCATCAGCTGATAAAACATGCCCTCTGGTCCCTCATCATTTTCCTTCCCTGGGCTCCAACAATAACAACATCTATTCCCTAACTGTCAAAAGAACAAATACGTTTTCTTGGAGGAAGTGCAACCAGGGAGCCCCTTAGAGGCAAGGTGGTGAACCTTTGTCTCACATACGTGGGGCATGTTGTCTGGAGGGGCCGGTCCTTGGACAAAGACATCACGCTGGGAAAGGTGGGGGGTCAGAGAAAGAGAGGAAGACCCTCAACCGGATGGGTCAACCCCATCACTGTAACAATGGGCTTGAGCAAATCGGAGATCATGACGGTGATGAACAGGGCAGGGCTCAGATCTGTAGTCCATCGGGTCTCACCGAGTCATGGTTGATTGACGGCACCTAACAAGAACAACATTCTCAAACTGGACAGTGTTTATATCCTCAGGAAGTCCTGCGACCCAGGCCGACCACCGTTTCTCAGACCCTCTTTAGGTCTGGCCTGTGCAGAGGAGTGGCTCTTTTGAGAACTGTTGCATAGCAGCAACTCCCTTTGGGGAAGGGCTCACTGGGGACAGCCTCGCACAGGCCGCCCTCACAGAGGCTTCCTCTAAGGCCAAGGCTCATGACTGACTTTTGGGTGGTCTGGCGTGAAAACACAAAGAGGCAGTTTTCCTAAGTGATACAGCTTCCTAAGCCTTCCTTTAAACTGCTAATTATCGTCAGATTCAACAACATCCTTTAGATCCTTTACCTTTTAACTTAACTGCCTGTTTCACTGTTTTGTGTCATAATTTTAAAGAAGGGGGTTCTGGTGGTTTAGTAATAAGGAACTGCACTGCCAGCGCAAAGGTGCATGGTTCGAACCCATCAGCTGCTCTGCGGTAAAGAATGGATGATCTCCTCCCAAGTGTCTCTGAAAACCCACTGGAAGGTCAGCTATGCGTCGGTTCCAACTTTGATGGTACACAACAACAATTTTAACACGTTGCCGCACACTTTTCATTGATGACCATGCTTAGAAACACCTTTTTTTAATGTATTACCGTCATTTGCAGCAACATGTTAAAGAACAAATCTGGGCACCTTCCTTAAGAGAATGCAAGTTTAAGGTTGATTTTTTTTTAAAGGATGCTCACAGATCTACACTATTCATATGTTTTCCATAAGGGAAGGGGGAAACTGGGTTAACCGCTAACCCAAGCTGCAGATAAGTTCTTAAGTGGATCCCCAGAACAAAGCATTGGATGGAGGTCCAGGATTGCAAGCACTGTTCAGAGTTCTGGGGATGACGTTCTTGGTGAAGAAGTTAAGCGTTTTGGCTTCTCAAGGCTACACAGACAAATGAAAGCAGCAGACAAAACCGAACCCAAGCCCAAGAAGCTGAACCCAGAAAATCGGAACCTGCCATTGAGTCTACGTAGAAAACAGACCACCGGCTCTTCTGCAGTCAAGTACAGCCGTCAAAGGATTGCCTAATTCCATCTTTCACAGAAGTTCTGTTACCCACGGCCTAGGCATCCTGGAGGCCCTGTTCCATTCTTCTGTCCTCACAGCACAAAAGGTAAAGGAAGCCACAGTTCTCAGTCTGAACGTCTCACGAAGCCACATCATACTGTACGGAGTGTCCACCCAAGCCCTCGGCTGAGCGCGTTTCGACTCGTGGACATCCTCCACAGACAGAGAGGAGACTCCAACGCTCTCCCACAGGGCAACGGGGGGATTCAAACCACCAACCTTTCAGTTAGCAACACGTGGCCAGGGCTCCTCTTACAGAGTGTACTGACTTTACAGGATAACAGATGGGAGTCTGAGTTCAGTGCTGTGCTCCCTCCTCTGTGGTTTTGAGCAGATTTCTCAACTTTTTAAGCCCCTTTCCTCATCTGTACGACAGAAAACTCCACACTTCCTAGAGACCTGGCGTGTAAACTAACAAAGGCAGCTCTCTGGAGAGGCCGGCTTCTCAGCAGGCGTGGAAGTACGCGTTTCCCTTCCTCTCCCCTCTGGGTTTCTGCTACTAACCTCGCTCCCACCTCTCCCAGTCAGTGTTCTTCATCAAAAGTGCAAGGCCAGGAATGGAGACCCAGTGCTGTAATGACAGCCGTGTGGAAGCAGCTGCTGAACGGCCTACGAGCACAGCTCTGCTCCCACGCAGGTGGACTCCACTCGGTTTGTTTATGAACAAGAACCTTCACTCATCTTGACCCTGGGTTCTGGCTTCTCTCCTTGCTTCTTATCTTTGATAGACTTGTGTGTCTGCCCTGAAATCTTGTCACACCCTGGACATTATGTTGACCATTTCTGTTTAAGCTTTTGAGAAGTCCACAGAGAATGAACGAGCCATGGAGGGCAGTCCACACCAGAGCCAGCTAAGGTGAGTGTGCAATTGTCTGGAGCTGGGGAGCAGGAAGTGGAATGATGCCAGAGAGAGCAGTGAAAACACTGTCAGGACCAGGGAAACAAACATGCTACGTCTTCCTGTCACAGCCAGTGAGCACCTACTGTATACCAGCTCTGCACCTCTGTATACCAGCTCTGCATTCTCAGGTGCACAAGAACAACAGGCTGACTCTTGCCTTTACTTTGAGTACTTGGGAGTCCAAAACTCAAACCAAAGCCACAGTCATCCCATCCACTGCCATCCAGTCCCCTGCCAACCAGTCCACTGTCCCACAGTCCACTGCCATTCAGTCCATTGCCATCCTCTCCACTGTCACCCAGTCCCCTGCCAACCAGTCCACTGTCACCCAGTCCCCTGCCATTCAGTCCACTACCATCCAGTCCATTGCCATCCTGTCCACTGTCACCCAGTCCACTACTATCTACTTCACTGTCACCCAGTCCACTGCCATTCAGTGTCTAAGTACGCACAGAAGACTGAAGTTTAGCAGCAACTGAAGTATCTATATGTATTTCCCAGGAGTCTCAGACTGGATGAGATTAACCAAGGAAGGCTTCCTGAAAGAGGCTCTTTAGTGTCAGTTTGAATGAGACGGGGTCACAGATCAGTAGAGTGGCGCTGGGGGCTGGGGTCAGCAGGTGTGCAGGCTGAGCACTGAGGGGTTGTTCTGAGGGTACCACAACTCCCCAGGGCTGCAGCCTGCCTTCACCGTGCCCCTTCCTCTGCCCCGCGGGGACCCTGGGGGACAGGCCGCAGGCTCTCACCTCGCTGGACTTCAGCACTCCGAAGAACGGGTAGAGGAAGGCGGGCACCAGGGCGGCAGCTCCGAGCGGCACGGCCTCGGACACCCAGTACACGGCCGTGACGATCAGCACGTACGCACACGCGGCCTCCTGCAGGGGAGAGAGGCTGTTAGGGGGGAGGCCAGTCCACTGGCCGGAGGGCGAGCCTGGACCAGCGCCGGGGCCCCTGCTGGCTGGGCTCGAGGTGGCCACCGGGTCGGCAGGACGGAGGGGCATCAGCCCGCCTCCAGGCTCCGCACAGGCACGCAGGTGGCGCTTGACTGTTGCTCTACTGAACTCCTGGATCCTGCCTCCTACACATGGAAGGTTTGGGGTAACCCCCGCATGGAGCAGGCCTTCGGCCCATTTTCCCAACAGCCAGTGTTCACTTCCTGTCTCTACCCCTTTGTGGCCATTCTCACAATATTTTAAGCTGATTTCTTCTTGCTACTGAACATTCCATGCGGAGGGCCGGCATAGCTTGGAAGCAGGATTGGCATCCACTTCCTAAGTAACATGTGTCCGGAAACTCTGTGAACTTTGATCAATGTCACTAGTTGTAGAGAGGCTTCAGGCTTTTTCTTTTTTAAATTTTTTTTGTGTGTACCATCAACTCAGATTTGACTGGTACAGGAGAAGATTGTTCCTCCTTCTCCAGCAGAGAATCTGGTGGATTCGAACCACATACTTCTGGGATTGCAGTGCAGCTTCTTGCCACTAGACCACCAGAGCTCCCTGAGAGGCTTCAGGCTTTTTGTTCATAGTGTCGCTATGAGTCGTGCTTGACTCAAAGGCAATCAACAACTACTGCACACTCCATGCAGCACAGATCAGCACGTGACACTCCACGCAGAGTGTCAGCGGAGGTTTCTTGAGCACTGGGAAACCACACACCCTGTGGCCCGCTGTACGGCCTGATCTGGGATGGAGCCTGCGACAGCTCCGAGGTGTGCCCTACCAGGAAGATGGGTTCAAAGCCGGGACTGACACCAAAGCCCTTCAGCATAGTCAGAGGGGCTTCACAGGCTCCTGAGTGTCCTGCAGAGAGGACAGTTGAGATATCCTAAGACTCATCTTTACAAGTCGGAATCAAGTCCACTGGAGCAGGCTTGGTTTTGGGGCGGGGCCCCGAGGCTGCTGAGGTGGATGGGAGTGATCTAAGTCAGCAGGGCCTGGGAAATAGGCTCTGTGACACTTGATGTGTGCCCACCAACCCCCAAAAATTACAGCCAGAGGAGGCAGGGAGGAAGAAGCTTCATCTCACATAATTGAGCACATTGGCAGGAGAGGTAATTCCTTGAAAAAGGACATGATGCTTGGAAAGGTTGTGGGTTGGCAAAAGAGAGAATGACCCTAACTAGATGGACTGACACAGTGACTGCAGCAATGAGCTCAAATGTGTCCGAGATTGTGAAGATGGCACAGGACAGGACAGGGCTCAGATCAGCCTCTCATAGGATTGCTATGAGTCATACTCGACTTGATGGCACCTAACAACCATTCCAAAGAGACGCAGGCCTCCTGGAGGTGAGACCTTGGATGACAAAGAATCCAGAAGGTGTTCCCGGGCTATGGGGAAAGGTTCTCAGGAACAGCCCAGGGGATGGGAGCTGCCAGGCAGGGCCTCGAGCCCAGCCCCCCTTCTCCAGCTGCACCTTGGAGCCTCTGCTTCCATGAGATTCAGAAACTGAATTCAGTGAGAGCTGGGCTGTCTTGCACCAGGAATGAGCAAATGCAGCCTCAGTGCCCTTGATGGAGACCATTACCAGAGCAAGGCAGTGTACTAATATGGTATAAGACCTTGTCAGGCACCACGTGTATGCAAGGACTGCTCCTCTTCCTTCTTCAACCTAAGGTTCTAGCACTTTCTAGCAGAACCTAGGATCTTCCCCAAAGAGACCATAACAGCCATCCAAGCAGATATATGCACACCCATGCTCTGTTCACAATAGCAAAGAGTTGGAAACAACCTAAGTGCCCATCAACAAACGAATGGATAGAGAAGCTGTGGTATATTCGTACAACAGAATACTATGCTGCACTGAAAAACAAGGAACTCATGAAATAGTATACAAAATAGATGGCCCTGGAGGACATTATGCTGAGTGAAATATTACAGTCACAAAAGGACAAATACTGCATAGTGCCACTGTTGTAAAACGGGACTGACATCGGGTTTGGGGGGAGACTGAGAAAGATGAGATAAATTACGTATACTGTGTTGAAACAGATGAGGGAGAGAACTATTTAAAAGGGTTGTATGATTGGGTAGTATTGTCATTACAGAAGTCCAAAGTGAAGGCTGCACAGTGGAGTGGACCTCGGAGGAGGGATTGTATGACAATGAAAGAATTTTTCTTTCACTTTTCAAAGAGAAGAACGAACTGGGGGGGGGGGTCGTGGGCAGGGAGAAAAGTGCAGCAATGAATGAATGGAAATCAAAGTCTCTGTAAACTTTCATTAATACAAAAAATAAAAAAAAAATAGTCAGTAAGGAATGAGATAAAACTGAGGAGGAGTGGTAGAGGGGAGGGAGAGGTTGGGTGGAGAGGCAGCAGCCAGATAAGGGGATGAGATTGAGGATCAAATCCCTAGCTGTTCTGCTCTGTGACTCACGGAGTCACGATGCCTCAGTGCTGTCAGTCTCGGAGGGAAGTCCGGAGGTGCCTTACCCCCCTGGGTGCTCACCTTGCTGGCAGTCTGCCCCGTGAACGCACACACCGTTCTTATACAAAACCAGCCCTCCCTAATCTAGCTTCAGTAGTGTTGTCAGTGGGGCTGAGTGAGGGTGTCCCCCTGGACAAGGTCACTCACTATCCCAGGTCCTCAACGACAGTCTCATCACTGGGCTCCTGGACCCAGAGGGCCAGCGGGTAGACACTCAAGCTGACTCTGGGCTTCTTGATTTTCACCTGTTGCTATTGAGTTGGTCCTGACACGTGGTGACCCCATGCGTTACAGGGTAGAATGGTTTGTGAGGTTTTCCAGGCCTCCTTGATGAAGGTGTTCTGGCGGAGGAGCCCCAAGTAGAGTCGTGTTTCTAACCCAGGCACTCTGGCGGTTTGGATCCAGCCTCGTGGAAGGAAGATGGGTAATCTCTTCCTGTGTGATTTACAGCCTCGGAAATTCGCTGGCGGGTCAGTTCTGAGTCAGTTCTGAAGGCAATGAGTGAATAGCTTTTCTTTTTCTTTTTTTTTAAATTTTGTGTGTGTGTACCGTCAAATTGGATCTGACTGGTACAGGAGGAGATGGTCTCTCCTTATCCAGCAGAGCATCTGGTGGATTCGAACCACACACCTCTGGGATTGCAGTTCAGCTTCTTGCCCCTAAGCCACGAGAGCTCACCAAGTGAATGAGTATCTTTGTGAAAGCTGACCACCAACCCCTTCGCCCCTACAGAGCCACTGGTGGTGTTAGTGCTGCTGAGCTGAACGCAACCTGCAGCAACCTTGTGAACCACAGACCTGACCCTTGCCCTGTCCGGTGCCAGCCTCACCACCTCCCACACACTTGATGAGCTCACCGGTACCACCGCCCTGCCAATCTAGAGTGTTGTGGATCTTCCACTCTTTCTCTGACCTTCCATCTTTTCAAGCCTGATGTCCTCCTCCAAGGACGGCCTCTCTGAGCAATATGGCCAAGAGTGTGAGATGGAGTTTCACCATCCTTGCCTCCAAAGAGCACTCTGGTCTCACTTTCTCCAGGACATATCGGTTCATTCTCTTGACAGTCGATGCTGTATTCAGCGCTCTTCTCCAACACCACAACTCAAGACATCACTTCTTCTGTCATCCTTCGTCACTGTCCAACTTTCAAGTGCAGATATCAAACCTCCAACCTCGTAAAGTGTAAGCGAATTACTTCATGGTGACCCTACAGGACAGGACAGGACAGCTCATCCCACAGGGCTTTGAGGGGTGCAAACTTTATAGGAGCAGGTTGCTAGGTGTTTTCTCTCTCATAGTGGAAGGGGAGTTTGAACTGCTAACCTTTGAGTTAGCAGCTGAAGGCTTAACCATCATACTACTTGGGCTCCTTCTGTGACAGGGAATACAAAATATTTTTCCATTCAAGGATCTTTCTCCACCTTTGTTTAGCTCTGAAATGTCAGGGCTTAGGTCTGGCCTGCCCAGAGGCTGGCCGCTGACCAAGGCCCCTCAAGGCTCTTGTTCTGCTTACACCCCCTCGGGTTCAGAATGTGTGTCCTCAAAATCTTACAGCAACGATACAAAAGGTCACTGGGCACAGTGTGAACTGCGGGAGAGATTAACCTGAGGGGGCCGGACAGGCCAAGTCCTCGCCTGCCGCCCGGGGATTATGGGGCCCGGGGGCTGAGAAGTGGGCACTGGGCCCGGTTTAATTGTTGACTGTGGCTCCGACTGAGACTTGCTCAGGGCCACAAGATCAGAAGGAAGTTAAACCACCTGCAAGTGCTGGACGACTGACTGCAGAACCAGCAGAGAAAGCAGAACGGCCCCTGTTGGAGAACGCCTCTGAGGGGACCTGCCTCACAGGCACCGAGGTGAAGCCACTCACAGGTGTCCCTGCCCTGTCCCCCTTCAGCCCATTCCCACTTATCTTTTATTCTGGGGGAGAGGCAGGACCAAGGCAAAGGGGACAGGAAGTTGCTGCATTCCACTTGCCCTGACCACTGACCGGAAGGGCTCTGAGGTGGCCTGTGTCTAAGTTCCCTGAGGCAGTGGCTCTGAGCAGGGTGGAGGTTTGTCCCTACTTGTCAATGTCCCGAGGCATTCTGGGTTGTCACCACTGCCTACAATTTCCCGCCCTGCCCTGAATATCAGCAAGTTTTCTGTGGAAAAACCCTCGAGCTGAGCGGAACAAGGTCAGCATGTGCCACTCACTGACTAAGTCAGTCCAGGATTCCACCCCCAGCAGCACCCTGGAAGCCACACGAAGCGGCGGCCAGCCTGCCTCATGGTCCCTTCTTCCCCACAGCCCCACAATGCCCTTCTTCACTCAGAATCACAGATGGCTTTCTTTACTTCAATTTTTCTCCTTCTCATGGATTCTTCTCAGTGATCACAGAGAACAAAGATGCTCAAAGACCCAAGGATGAAGTTCTCAGAAACACTACAGCCCAAAGTCATGGTCCCCAGAGAGAGTGGTGGTGAAGAATTTGGACTATGTCATGACCTACTAAGAGTAAACAAATCTATCCTAGAAAAAGCGCAGCCAGAATGCTCGGGAGAAAGACTCTGTCTCACATACTCTGGACATATTGCCAGGAGTGTCCTGTTCCTGGAGAACCTCACGCTTGGCAAAGGAGTTGTTGGTGAGTACCATCGAGTCAGAACCGATCCATAGCTGACCCTCCAGTGAGTTTTCAAAAGCAGCTAATCACATGGGAGGAGACTGCTCATCTTTCTCCCACAAAGCAGCTGGTGGATTTGAACTGCATGCCTTCAGGATTGCAGCACAGCCTTCTTAACCCTAAGCCACCAGAGGTAAAGGAGAGGCTCAGCAAAAGAAGAGGGAGACCCTCAGTGAGATGGCTGCAACAGTGGGTTTAGGCACAGCGGAGATTGTGAGGATGGCACAGGAGGGGGTCTGAGTCGCTGGTGACCCGGTGACATCTCACAACAACAGGGACCCCAGGGAGAAGTGGGTGGTTGTGTCTCTGCTGTGTCCTCCCTTCGACCAGTCTGATGTTGAGTGGCAGGAGAAGGGAAGGCCAGAACTCAGGCCACTTGGAAGAAGCGGAGAGCAGCCTGGTGTCCAGCCAGTACTGTCCGCTGCCATTACTGCCTGCTGATCTCTACCCAGTTTGGGTTAGCACCTCCCTGGCGCGCTGGGGTTCGGGCCAGCTCCCTTCCTAATCGGCTCTCTTTGGCTTTGTAATTGAATTCTGGTTGCTATGTTACTCCAGGGGCTGTGACGGGGGTGAGAGGTTTTCTCTCTCACAAACACTGCCTTAGTGGACTTTCCCTCAGACCCCAGCGAGGCAGGGGGAGAGGACCGGTGGGAGGGTCTGAGGAGTCATAGCAGAGCCGAAGCCCCTCACTGCTCAGGCCGACCTGACAAGGACGAGGTCACAGTCTAGCACGGGGCGCTCCCCTTGGTTTTGAATGCCCCAGTTTGTCTCTCCCATGAAGACCAGAAACTACAAGGACACAGAATCACGGGGCCTTATGTGTGGGGTCGGGCAGCGCGCCAAACCCGCTTCCAACTTGGCACTTACAGAATGATTTGCTGCCGAGTGGGAGCTTTCGCGACCACCGTGCAGACGCCAGACCCCAGACCCAGACAGGCACCGAGGCCTCGCTGGGACTTGACTCGCCTCCTCCCCACCTGCTTATTAGGCTTGCCCCGTCCTCCAGGGTCCCCCGTTATTCCCAGATAAAGGGGTCACATTGGTTTCCGAGGAAGGCAGGGTCGCCAGCATGCCTTCCTTATGGCCAGGCCGAGGCTCGGGCAGGCAGCCCTGACCAGTCAGTCACTCGGCCCAGGCCAGGCGCTGGGGGCCAGGAAAGAGGCCAAAGAAGATGGGAATAATGGTTCTTAGGGAGACGAGATCTTGGCCTCCTCCGGAAAGACACCCCATCCCAACCTTCCCACACACCAGGACCGCGCTGCCCTCCCCTCCCCTCTGCCCCCCCCCATCTTGAACTTGGAAGGCGCGGGTGGTACTCACACTGCTGGGGTGCAGGATGGGCAGCGGAAGCAGCAGGAGGGGGACGAGGATGACCAGCAGGAGGTTGCGGGCGCCCAGCAAGGCCTTGGGCAGGCCCATGGTGGCTCGGCCGCCTCTTGCTTTACCGGATGAAGACATCCAAGCTGCACCTGATGGTCCCTCCCCAGAACCTTCTTCAGGAACCTCCCAGACGTCTCTGGACCCTCTTCTTCTGTCTCGGGGCCCAGGTATGGAGTCAGGTGCAGCCCCGTCGCAGGAGGAGGCTGGGTCCTGGTCTTCGGTGTTAGGTGGGGTTGGTGAGCATGGTTTTATGGCCAGCGAGAAGGAACTGGGAGAGGATTATAAACGGGGGCATGGTGAGGCCCCTTGGGGTGGCCTACCAGGCCAACTCCGCCATCCTAGATGTCAGCCCAGGCCTCCTCTGCGCCAGGGACGAGGCCCCCGTGGCTGCCTCCGTGTGACCCCTAGAGTCACTCACAGGTCTCCATCACTGCTCCTCCCTCAGAAGGTCTGTTTGGGGGTGCCACCAGTTCCAGCTCCTACCTGTGCTGCTGTCCCCCTTACTCTGCACTAGCCCTTGGGTGTCCTGGAGGCTGCTCCTGCCTCCCAGGCCCTGGCACTCCACTCCTGCCTTCCCGAAGCCTTTCCCTCCAAGCAGCCTCACACTTCTCCTCCCCGAGCCCAGGCCTCCAGGGGACAGAGCCCAGAAGACATTCCTTCTGTCCCAGGACACCTTTGACTTGAGTTCACCTGTGGGAGGCCAGGATGGAGCAGGCAGCTCCGCCCACTGCCCCCAGCCAATCAGAAGGTGGCGGGGCAGCCCCTCCCCTCCTCTGGGCGACTCCTGATTGGCCACAGCAGGAGGCTGCTGAGCCTGCGGAACCCAGGCGGCCTGCAAAGCTTATTTTTTCAGTTTATCAAAAAACACAGCCCAAAGGCTCCAGGATACCATCTTTGTAAATATGAGCTCACAGCTCCAAGCGCTGCTTGATTGTTGGGGCCACGGGCCATGCAGCTTTTCCTGGGAGGGCCACCTGCTGACCTGGGCCTTCGGGGAGATGAAATGTCCATTTAAAAAGACCCCACTCTTGTCCAATCCTTTTTGACTCATAGTGACCCCACATGGCACAATTGAACTGCCCGAGGAGGTTTTCCAGGCTGTAGTCCTTATAACCCTTCAGTGGGTTTGAACCACCAACCTATCAATCAAAAGTGTATCTGCACCACCAGAGCGCCTACTAGACAAACAAAACAAAAAAATGTTAAGGAATGGGAGGAAAGATACAGCTTTCCTAGGAGAATGGAGGGACACTGCCTCCCTGACCCTATGATCCCAGAGGAGGCCCTGGGTGGTACAACCCAAGAGGTCGGAGGTTCAAGTACACCCAGAAAACAGGTCTCATGATCTACTTCCCAAAGAGCACAGCCTTTGAGAATCTTTCGGGCTTTCCCCCGGTTTTGCTGGAACACACATAAGGTTGTTATGAGTTGACATTGACTCAAAGGCAATCAGTCTGGCTTGGGGTTTTTGATTGGTGCCAACTGTCAGGCATTTGGGTGTGAATCAACGTTTAATGGTTTAAGTCCACCAGAGGTACCTTGGAAGAAAGGCTGATAATGTACTTCTGAAAAAAAACCAGCCCTTGCCAGCCCAATGGGAAAGATGAGAAACTAAGTGGACAGGGAAACTAGAGTACTAAAACCAAAACCACCAGAATGCAACATACGAGAATGCTGATGTCTTGTGAAACATGGAATGAATGCTCTTGAGCAAGATGTAAGAAATTATCAAATGAGGAACCCAAACCACAATATATTATTTTAAAAAAGAAAAGAAAACCCTGTGGGGCAGTTCTGCTCTGACGCACACAAAGTCATCATGACTCAGAAGCAACGTGATGGAAACTGGGTTTTTGAGTCCAATGACCACGGCCATTCTGGCTGGCGGAGTGACCCAGTGCTCTGCTCTCAGGCTCTTTCTCCAAAAGGAAGCATGGGTGGAAAGAGAAGATGGCATGAATGCAGGAGGGGCTAGAGAAGTACAGGGATGGAGCTGACACATTTAGGGACATGGTCTGAGCAACTGGCTCCCAAATTTCTCCAGTCTACAGAAGGTGTTAACCTCTTTCCTCAGAAAGAACTTGTGGGTCTTGGAAGAGGTGGGGGGAAAACCAGGAAAAGAGAACGCCCCAAACTTTTAAAAAAGTGGTGTTTCTGGCTAGTATTGCTGGGATCTGATGGGCTGCTGAACTGAGTCAAAGGCTTATGAAACCAATCTCTTCTTGAAAGTGAGAGAACGTGCGGAATGGTTTGCCAAGTCCTTCAACACGACAAGCGGAAATTCTCTCTAGGTTAAAGAGGAGGTGGCCAAGAAATGGTTTCAGAAAGCCAGTTCTTTGGGGCTCTGAGGCCAGAGCAGCCCCGGCCAGCCCAGCCCCCTCTGAGGCTATCTTGCCATTGTAGAAGGGATTTGATTGATGACCACTCCTTTGAAGAGATGTTAAGGACTGGCTACCATATTTACTACATGCTGGCCTCACTTTGAAAGGATTTTGAAACTATGAATGAGTCATTCCACATGTGCGATGTTTTGGTTGCAAACATTAAAGAGACAGGGATAATAAGAAACAGCTGTGGGAGAATGACCACACGCTGGGGTCCTGAGGCAGCTGTGGAAGTCAAGAGTGCTGGTCAACCACCCCTGAGTCCTTAAGATGAGATAATCTGAGATAACAAAACAATCCAAGGAAATCAGTCCCGGCCTTTTTACCACATTGTAAACCAAGATCTGTTCAAGAAGATTGAGTACAGTGATCCAAGAACAGCTGTGTTGTAAAAGACCCAAGCTGTCGCACTGAGGACTAAGGTGTGCCTGACCCAACCCATGGTGTTTCCAATTGCCTCATATACATGGGAAAGTTGAACCACGAATAAGGAAGAGTAAAAGTGCTGATGTCTTTGAATGGTGCTGTTTGGTGAAGAATATTGAGTATTTCTTGACTTGCTAGAAGAACAAAAGGAGTCTGTCTTGGAAGAAATACAAATCGAGGGCTCCTTAGAAGGAGGATAATGACATGTCGACTCACAGACTCCGAGCGTGTTACCAGTCAGTGAAAAGGGAACAAGATGACTGGTCACAGTGGCAGCAATAGTGGGTTAAAATACGTCCAAGCAACAGCGTGGACGGGGTAGGACCAAGCAGTGCCTGGTTCTGTTGTTTAGATGGTTGGTAGGAGCAGGAACTGAACCCATGGCGGCTAACAACAACAACAACAGTAACGAGATGACTTACACAGCAAGAGCAGTAGTGCCCCCACACGTGGGGGTGGTTGTTGTTAACTGCTGTTGAGTCGAGCACGGCTCATAATGACTCTATGAACCAAAGACCTGAACCCTATACTGTAACTATTGTAGGTTCTCTATGGTCATAGAATTTCCAGAAGCATGTGGCTTAGGAAGTGGATGCCACTCCTACCTCCTTCCAAACCTGACTCAGTCTGGGAGCTCCACCAAACACTGTCTACTACGAGTAACCATTAGGGCATTTGACACACCAGTGGCACAGCGTTCAGCATCACAGCAACTCCAGGTTACTTCAGTACAGCAAAATGAGAGACCAGAGCTAACATATGGGTTGTCAAAATTGAAAAGCTAACAGTCTCTAGTTAAAAAAAATAATCAAATTAAATTAAAAAGATTTTAGCTAATTTGTTCTAACAAACACAGTTTAAAAAAATTTTACTATTATTAATTTTCCTGTTACATGTTAGAGCAGTTCCTCAACAAATATCCAAATTGTCAGCACATGATCTATGCTTCAAACTCACACAGAAGTTATCTTTAAAAGCGTGTCATAAACTTTGTCTTCCATTTTTCAGATGAGACCACCTAGTCTGGATTAAATTTATGCAAAGACATTAAAAAGGGTTTTGAAAACAAAGACACCTTTACCCTGTCTCCTTATCTGTGAAATTAGCTCCTGAGTGACCACGTACAGAATTCCCTTTCAGTTGGATGCAGAGACAGAGGTGTGAAAGCTCCTGTCCCGAGACGCTTGTCAAGGTCTCTTGAGTGACCTCAGAGATGGGTTTGTGGACGTCAGTGATAGGACGTCCAGAATTTTTTGCTTCTAAGATTCCCCAATAGTACAGAAATGGTAGATGTGGCCCCATGCTTTCTTCCACACCTAGATTATTCTATGAGTAAATAGGGCCAAATGCGGCCTGACTGTGATTGTGGGTAGCAAGGCACCCATGAGCAAAAGGGGAGAGCGTTGTTCATTTGTGGTCTCTATTGTTGGTCAGATGTTTTGGAGAGACTTTTTGAGTGTGGTTGTGGAGATATTGTTTCTTTTTTATTGCGATGTGGGTGAAAGCTTACAAAGTAAATTGATTTTCCATTGAGCCATCCATGTCAGTTTTGCTTTGTGATGTTAGGTATAACAGCACTCTTATTACTACACTCTTCTGCTCCCTCCCAGTGATGCTTGTTTCCTTTTATCCCTGCTCCCTCTCCCTTCCTGCCTTCTGAAATTTGTCCCTGAACAAACCCTGCTCTGTTGATCTTGTATGGTTGATGGTTCTAAGATGTGTGCCCCTCTCTAGTTCACCTCACAGGCTGACTGCTGTTTGGCTGAGAGGCGGCCTCAGGACTAAGTTCTACTCCAGGTTCGAAGATGTCTAAAGGCCAGAGTCTCTAATAAGCCTGGCCTTTTCCATGATTTTGTTCCGTGTTTTTTGCCCACTGTATCCAGGACCTTCTACTGTGATCCCTCACAGAATGGTCAGCAGTGGATGCCGGGCACCACCTAGTTCTTCTGGTCCCAGGGGGCCTGGGGTTAGGTTCGCGTGGTCCTTTGGCAGGGTGAAGAACATTATCTTTATGGTATGATGGCCTTCATGTCCCCCTAGACAATCAGGGCTACATATTTAATTTTTCGTGCACACAAAGTAATTGTTATGAAACTTTCATGGGTAGAAAATGAATTTTACTCAGAAAAAAAAATTCTCTAGTTAAGGGAACTCTGGTGACCTAAAGGCAAGAGGCTGTCCTGCTTACCCAACGACACACGGTTCGAGACTACCATGGAGAAGGATGCTGTTCTGTGGAAGAAGGATGGACAATCTCCTTCCGTGTGATAAGTGCCTCTGAAAACCCTGCAGAGGGTGAGCTATGAGTTGATTCTGCCTCTATGGTACACAACAGTTATGGAGAGTGTAATGTTTTCATTGGCCTCTGAGGGGCGCTGCCCTTATCTATTTGGTAGTTGATTGCCACATACATTTAGGCCCCAATTTACGAATCAAAGTGTCTTTAATTTTCTGGATGAATGAGCTACTGCTGCTCACGGTGGTTCAGGACATTTCTCCCCCACGTTTATATCCTACCACTGGGAGCAGCCGTGTGGCTGCTGCACGACGTGGTGGGCATGGACTACAGTCCCGGGTCTGTCCATCTGGTGATCTGATTACAAAGATGACCTTGGGTCTGCTCTGATGAAGGAGAAGGGTCTGGGGCCGGATGTGCGAATATTGTGATCTGCAGCCAGTGGCAAGAAGCTGCACTGCACTCCCAAAGACACACGGTTCGAATCCACCAGCTGCTCTGCGGGAGAAGGATGGTCAATTAACTCCTCCCGTGTGATTAACTGCCTCTGAAAACCCACTGGAGGGTCAGCTATGGCTTGATTCCACATTGATGGTGTACAACACCACCACCACCACTCGTAAGTCTTCACTTTTGTGTGTACCGTCACATTGGATCTGACCAGTACAGGAGGAAACTGTCCCTCCTTCTCCACCAGAGTATCTGGTGGATTCAAACCATGTACTTCTGGGATTGCAGTGCAGCTTCCTGCCACTAGGCCATCAGAGTTTCCTTTACTCTTTTCTCTTAAAGATTGATCAAACACATGGCCAATGAAGGGACCTGTTGCATTACTCCCATTCTAAGCAGTCACTCTTTGCTTTTTGAACAGAGACGCCAAGCCCCTGGCTATCAGAATAATGCATGATGTCTAAGGACAGAGGCCACTGCTGCTCACCTTCCCCAGGAAATTTAGATAGGGACCTGAGTGGGCATTAAGTTTATGGTCATGTGGGGGTGGAACAACAACTAAGACAAAAAGGACAGTGACAATGGTTGTACAACTCCCAGGATACAAGCTGCGTCGTGGAATTGTACACAGAAATTGTTTGTTTGTTATGTATTCTACTGTGTGTATTCTCAACACCAACAAAAATAAGAAAATAAATTATAGTACAATTCATATATATTTCACATATATATATATATATAAAATATTATCTATATAAATAAAAGAAAACCCAATGGGACCTAGTTCCACTCTCTACCATTTGTAGAGTCACTCACTGTCAACTGCTTAGGTTTTAGTTTGGGTCTGGGGCTTCTCAGAATAGGCGCAAAGTTGGCAGAGACCTATGGTTGAGTCACATGACCCCTTTGCAGAATCTCACCGTAAGTTCATGACTGTTGGAATGTTGGAATGGCCAGAAGTCTTAGAGATGATCTTATTAAATTTCTCTGAATGACTATCTTCAGTTATAAAGTTTTCCATTAAAACTCAGGATATTTCATGTATATGATTCAGTGAAGGTGCATGCTGCTATAAGTGAGATGTGGCCTTTGAAGGGGTAGAATTCTATCTTCTGAAAATCATTTCCATTTGGGTCACTTACTTCACTGGTGACACTATAGCCTTTGAACCAAGGACAGGCATGGGTATTGGTGCCGCCTCTCCCATTACGGTGACCCTTTCTGTAGTTGCTTGGTGGCCCAATTTAAGAAAATGAAGAGTGACCATTTAGACTGAGGGCATTTCTTGGGAACCTTCACATTGAACTTCTGTGGTGGACCAAGCCTTGCAGAAAGGAGAGCTAAAGACCACAACATTTCTGATGGTCTAGCTTAGTCTTCTTGATGGCTTCTGGAGAAACTGAGAAGTGTGTCTTCGGCTAACATTGTGTTTATTTGGGTCACTCTCACCTTGAACCCTTCATGAGGGAGTGAGATGTTGTCTCCAGGTTGGTGGTAGGTGCTTTGGTCTGTGCTATGGTGTAGAGGACGAAGAACTTCCTGACTGCATAGAGATCGTACTCTGTGCTGCGTGTAGGCCAGACTCTCAGAGCGACATTTTGGGGCCTGAGGACCGCATCAGATCATGCCTCAGGGCCTGAAAGAGGCTACGAAGAGCCTGTGCCCAGATGTCCTTCTGATGCCCTTGGGCCAGGGCCGTGCGATAGGCCGTGTAGGCCAGGGTGAGTACCGTCCTTTCAAAGTCTTCCTTCTTGAGGATGCCTGGGTTGCTGGAGAGGCTGGCACTCAGCCGACGGATGTCTGGGATGCGCTTGGGGATCACATCGTTGCAGACGGAGCGGAAGTCAGCACCTTTCCTCAAGGAGAGGAGCTCCTCGTCTTTGATGGAGATCTCCAGGTCGGGGCTGATTTCAAGTTCAGAGAGGAGGAACTGGTGAGAAACACAAGATGTGGAAAGACATGAGTCAGGCATTGTCAAGGACAAAGCTTTACTCATTAGCACATATTCATTTAGGGAACCAAGGAGAACTGGTCTCCTGCTGATTGGCCCTCTGCTGTACAACCTTGCATGGGTTACATTGGTGTTAAGGGTCTGTTGTTTAAAATTGGGAGCTCTGGTGGCCTAGTGGTAAGAAACATTGCTGTAATCCCAAAGGTGTAGAGTTCAAACCCACCAGCTGCTCTGTAGGAGAAGGACGGATCATGTCCTCCTGTTTAAAATTACTTTCCTAGGCCATTGTCCTTGATTTTGTTACATAGATGGTTGGTATCATACAAATCAGGTGGGTCAGTCTAACCCAAGGGAATTTGCTAGTGGATTAAGAAGCAGGAATTGGGAATCTCAATACCAATAGGGAAGAGGAAACTGTGAGTGTTTTTCAGGGCCAAAGAGCCCTGTGCCAGCCAAGATCTGCCTGAGAGCAATGGCAGCCTCACTAGAGAACAAGAAACCAGCCTGAGATAGAGCTGACTTGGGACCACTGCTCCACAGAGCCAGAGCCGGAGCCAGAGGTCTTCCCACGAGCTTGCTGGAGGACTGAGGGAAGGGAGATGCCAGAACTAGCAGGACCAACTAGAGGAAATTTGTAACACTGACCTCTGCTGTGAGGCTAAAGGTCAAAGAGTCTGCGACTAGAGGAATCATCCAGACTGAGGGATTATGCTCTGCTGCATACCTGAATTATATATAGCCTTTTCATGTTCCCAGTAAACTCCCTAACCACGAATCCATGACGGTTCTGTGAAGTCTGTGTGGTCACTGCGATGACCTGCAGGCCCAGGACAGCTGTAAGTGTTCGAATCAGTAGAAGTAGGAACAAGAGCAGGGAGACCAGGTCTGATTTTACAGGAATTGGTCCTGTACTGTGAGTGTTGTTGACAGGGACAGTTCCCCTTCATGGAATTAATGGAAGTCAGATCAGCCATCCCCGTGCCTCCTTATTTTTATAGGTTCTCATTGATGCATTCTTGGACTACTCAGTGAGTAATGAAAACATGAGTTTACTTTGTTGTTGTTGTTGTTATGTGCCGTCGAGTCGCTTGCGACTCATAGCGACCCTATGTACAACAGCCCTAAACCCTGCTCTATCCCGTGCCAATCTCACTGCCTCCGACACACCCATCCCGATTACCCCAGGCACTGAATCAATCCACCTCATAGAGGGTCTTCCCCTCCTGCGCTGTCCCTCCACTCTACCCAGCATGATGTCCCTCTCCAAAGACCTGTCTCTCCTTACAACATGTCCAAAGTATGTCAGGCGAAGCCCCAGAATCCTTGCCTCCAAGGAGCAGCCTGGTTTAACCCTCTCTAGGATGAATCTGTTTGTTTTCCTGGCAGTCCATGGTACATTCACTACTCTTCTCCAGCACCACAGCTCAAAGGCATCAATTCTCCTTCTATCCTCCCTAGTCATTGTCCAACTCTCTGATGCATAACAAATGATTGCAAAAACCATGGCCTGTATCAGGCGCACCTTAGTCTCCAGAGAGACACGGTTGCTTTAGTTTGCATAATAATCTGTAGTAAATCACTTTGTGTTTTCTCATTGTATCAGAGATACTGCTTACATGGCTGGCATCTGTCTCTTTCCCAACCGCAAAGCATCTTCCTACAGAATCAAGCATCTCTACATTTACACTCCCTGAGGAAGAGGGACTATCCAGCAAGCACAGGCTTACTTGTGTTTACTTCCAGATCTGTAGCAACGCATTTCACAGGGGCTTCCCCACCTCTCTGATCACACTGTAGGGAACATGATGTGGTGAAGCCCAGGTGGTTCGTAAGGAAGCTCAGATGAGTCTACGCTTCCCTTGTTTCTCGACTAATCCTGCAAACTTCTCTGAATCTCATGTTCCTCCTCTGTAAAAGAATTAGTAATAGCAACTGTGGATGCCCGGGTAGTACAAATGCTTAAGATGTCAACTACTAATGGAAAGATTGAATCCCCCAGAGGGGCTTTGGAAAAGCGCCTGGTGATCTGCTTCAGCCCTGAGAACCTCGTGGAGGAGTTCTGCTTGGCACTCACACCAGGAGTCGGAATTAATCCTCTGGCGACTAGGTCTCGGATGGTTTGGATTTTTTTTTTTTTTTTTTGTGCTATCTATGCCACTTGATTGCTGTGAGTTAGCATTGATTCAACGGCAGTGGACTGGGTTTGATATGTCCCTTGGATTCTGAGAGAGGTAAAGAAGAGAAATGATGGACAACATCTCATGGAATGCTGGCACAAAGCCATTATTAAAAGTGATCAGTTAGTGTTTCTATGTCCAAGAGCAATCGTTCTTCCCTTCCTCCCTTCCCAGTAAGCTTCTAAAACATTTGGAGAATTATTTAGCACAAACTGAGCATTTGAAGGATGTGGAAAATAGGAATTAGCTGGGTACAGAGGTGTGTCCTCTCTCACTTGTTCCCCAAGAGCAGGGCAACTCTGTCACATATTCAGTTCCACCCTCTGTCATTCTAGACCTGTACTGTTGTTGTTGTTAAATGCCGTTGAGTCGTAGGCGACTCACAGAGACCCTATGAATGAACGAAAGTCCTCAACACTCGTGTGACTTTCATCTTTTCTCCAGGATCATAGGGTTTCTGGAGGCAAGCTATTACGGAAGTGGATGCCACTCCTGCTTCCAAGCTTGTTTCTACTGGGGAGTTTCACCAAATAGTCCGCCTTGGATAACCATTATTGCATTTGATACATCAGTGTCACAGTGTTCAGCTTCACAGCAACCACGAGTTATCTCTGTACAGCAAGTAGACACGCCAGAGACCTGTATTAATTAGAACCCAGTAAAACACCTTTTGGACAGAATGACTCAGTTCTGATGACTGTCTGCATCCATCTTCTCTCAGTTCCTATCTACCTTCCATGTTCGGTCTCTTGTCTCACAGATTTGCTCCATATGATGTTCATGTTCAAGACTTGGCAAAAGAGGACTTGAGTTCTCCTCTGGGCTTGTCCTTTCTACAGCAGGCTTTTTCTTTCTTCCCTGATCAGTTCTAGCAGAGCCTGGACACATTGCAGGGGGATGTCAGAGCTCAGTTCCCCTGTAACAGTGGAGGGGACTCAGGTCGAGCAGGAAATCGTGACTTGTGTGAGCTCATGCAGCTGATGGCTGATGAAGCTAGAACTACAACTCAGGGCTTGGGTTGGGCTCTTATGACTGCACCGGGTCGTCTCAGGACATTTACCCTGTGGTTTGGAGGAAGATGGTTACAGGGATGGGAGTGTGTGAGGAGAGGAGAGCCTTCCAGTGGTCCAAGCCTTCAGAAACAACAACGGCTAGCAGGGAAGCTAGAAGGGTCGTTGCTGTCACACAGTCTCACTCAATGGACTTGGCATTACCTTGCACAGCAGTGGAGTGCTGGTTGGGACAATCACTACACAAGTTGCATCAGTGACCCAACGTTAAACCTCTAACTTTGCTCAGTTGGATTCCTCCTGCTATTATTCCCTGTTACAGCACGTGGAAGAGGTAAACGGGAAAGAGGAATGCCTTATTCTGGCACAAGCAGCATGATATGACTTCTACAAATGAGGCTAGGAATGCCTGCCAATAGCCGAGGCCATTACTTCTCTGGGACTCGGGCCACTTCTCCAAAGTGGATGGTACCCTGCCTTTTGACCTCTGCATCTACCTCATGGAGGCTGGTGGCACAGTGGTGATTGGAATCCATCAGCTTCTCCACGAGGGAAAGACGCGGTGGTCTGCTTCCGTCAAGATAACGGCCTTGGAAACTCCACGAGTAGTTTGACTTTATGCCACAGGGTCGTTATGAGTCACAAGGACTCAACAGCCATGGGTTTTGCTTTTTCGGTGTGGACCTTATCTAAGGAGCCCTGGTGATGCAGTGATTAAGTGTTCATCTGCTAATTGAGAGGTGGTCTTGTTATGTTGGCACCGACTCAGAGCTCACCCTCCAGGGGGTTTTCAAGAGGCTGTAAATGGCATGAGAGGAGATCGCACATTTCTGCAGCTGGTGAGTTTGAACTGTGGGCCTTTAGGTTGGCAGCACAACTTCTTAGCACCGGGGCATGAGAGCTCAGCTGGAAGGTAAGTCACTATGCTGGGGAAAGATGTGGTAGTCTGCCCTGTAAAGACGACAGGTTGGAAACCCCGCGGGCAGGTCTACGCTGTCTTAGCAGGTCACTGTGAAGTCCCCAGCAGCAGGCTTGGTATCATGTTTGACTCACCTCATAGAGCAATTCCACCTCCTCCAGGGAGGTCTGCAGGACGGGGTTCAGTGGGAGGGACGAGGACCTTTTTGGCCGGTGGGCAGCAGGGAACAGCACAGCTGAAAGAGACAGAGTGTGAATCCCATGGGCTGTACCTGCCTTGAGGTTAGCAGGGGATCTTGAAGGAGACAGACTCCTCTGGTACTTTCCAAAAGGGTCTCAGCCATGGCAGAGACCAGTGTTTTAAGACCAAACCTAGCAGCACACACACACACACACACACACACACACACACACACACTGAGGAAATCTCCAGGAAACACACATGCCTGACTGCCTGACTCCCACTCCTGGAGCATCAAGAAGAAAGGAGCACAACTCAGTGAAACAGAACAGGTGAACAAGTCAAAACCCAAAACGTCATATCGCTGAGTTCCCAATAACCCTGGTCCTTAACAGGACTGTGAGAGGCGCTGCAGACACAGTGATTCAGGCATTTTACTGCTCATCAAAGTGTCAGAGGTAAGAACCCACTAGTTGCTCCACAGCAAAAAGATGGGGCGATCTGCTCCCATAAAGATGCCCACCCTGAAAGCCTACGGGGCAGTCCCACTCTGACTGCAGGACCACCGTGTCAGAACCCATCAATGTGACTGATAGGACTGCACCCTTCAGCACTCTGCTGTATCAGCAAGAAAGGCTCGTTTACGTTTGTTTATTCACCATTCTCTTTTTTTTTTCTTGAAGAGATATTGTTGGGTTGTTTTATTATTATACTAGTTTATTTACAAAATTCAAATACATTGTTTTCCAAAACAGATTCTTTCAATTTCCCTTACTTCCCTCCCTTTCAAATTGTACAACCCTATGATTAAACTCTCCTCCCCCTGCACACCCTCATCCCTCTGCTTTCACCCTCACCCATCCCCCTTGGATCCTTATACTCATTCTACAGTAATGACTTTTTACAGTATTTGTCCTTGGGGGACTGAGTTAGTTCACTCAGCATAATGCTCTCCAGTCCCTCCCAAGTTAGGTCATAATCTACAAAATCATTGCTCCCATTTCTTCCCAGTCTTGTTCTGTGCACGTCGCCCTTCCTTCTAGCTCTCTAAGCTGCCCAGCCTCTCGCTTTGCGTCTCTCCTTTGTTTTGATCCGATCCCCACTGTCCGTGTTGGTGGTAATTTCTGTACCATTGACACTAACATCATCTGTGGATTATACTGCCTGTAATGGATTAAGTTGTATATCCCCAAAATATGTGGTTGAATTGTGTATGTTACCCCAAGTACCCATTCCGTGGTTGTAATTCCATGAGGGAATGGTTTTGTTATGTTATTGAAGCAGTCACTGAGCCCTGGTGGTGTAGCCTGGGCTGCTAACCCAAAAGCCAGTTGTCTACCTCGGTTCAACCCCCCCAGCGGCTCTGCGGAAAAAAGGCAGGCATTCTCCTCCCCTCCTGATTTACAGCCAGGAAACCCTCAGGAGGGTCCCTGTGAGTCACAGCAGGGAGTTTTGAATGAGGCCGTATTAGCGCAGGGTGTGTCTTAATCTCCTGTTGAGATAGATAGGGTGTGTCCTGAATTGGTCTCCTTTTGAGATAGATGAGAGAAAGATTAAGCAGACAGTGATGGGGAAGATAGATTACCAAGGCCCTTCCCCTGGAGCCATACCAGGGAGAGAGCCTTCCCCACAAGGAGTGGTGGCATAGTGCATGAAGACAAAGGTTTGCCTGGCTGGGATGACCAGAGGTGGAGAAGAGTGCTTGGTATCCCGTGGACTACCGAAGGCACAAACATGGACAGCTTGGAAAAGGCGCAGTCAGGGTGGTCCTTGGAGGCATGGGTGGTGAAACTTTGACATATTTGGGGCAGGTGGTTAGAAGAGCTTGGAAATGTGGAGGGCCAGAGAAGAAGGGGAGGACCCTCCTTGAGACAGATTGACAGTGACTGTAGCAGTGGGCTTGAGCGAGTCAGAGAAGATGAGGAAGGCCAGGATAGGGCAGGGTTCGGATCCATTGTTCCTAGGGTTGTTATGAATCATAGGTGACCAGACAGCACTTTTACCTCAAATAACTGATCCGATCTACCAGCTGCTGCTTTGGCCAAAGGTGAACCATCTCCTCCTAGAAATACTTGTAGCCTATGAATCCCAATAGTGACGTTGAGTTGGACTTGACTCAGTGGTACTGGGTAGAGCTGGTGTCCTGTGCTCAGACTTTTCTAACTTCTTATGCTGTGAGAGAATCGATTTGTTTGTTACAGCCCCCCAGGATTGTGTTTCTCTCACAGCAGCACATGAGGTTTCTGTTCTGTCAGCACTCACCTTTCTCCTCCAGCCCTGCTAGTGGATTTGAACTGCCTGTCTCTGGGTTGGCACCCCAACTCCCTACCCACAGTGCAACCAGAGGAACCACTTTATTTTCTGTAGCGCTTGTCCTCATAACCTGTCAGATGATGACTCCGTTGGGTGAAGACTGTTGAAAATAGCTTCAGCATCTCGACTGTTGTTAGATGCTGTCAAGTTGAAAATGACAACCCTTTCTCTGATCGATAGATCTGAACCTTGCCCTATGCCGTATGTCCTCATGATCCCCACACTCAAGCCCTTTGCGCCGGTCACTGTGTCAGTCCCTCTTGTTGAGGGTTTTCCTCTTTCTACCATGATGTCTTTTGACTGGCCGCTCCTGACAACTTACCCACGGTCTGTGAGACGAAGCTTCACCATCCTTGCCTCTTAGGAGCATTCTGGTTTCACTTCCTCTAAGATAGATTTATTCTTTTGGGGTATTCAGTACTCATCTCCAACATCACAATTCAAAAGCATCAATTCTTCTTCATCCACCTTTGTTCTTGCTGTTATGTGCCGTTGAGTCACTTGAGACTCATGAGTCACTTGAGACTCACAGCAATCCTGTGTACAGCAGCTCTGAACCCTGCTCTATCCTGAGCCAACCTTATTGTCTCTGAAACACCAAACCCCATTACCCCAGGCACTGAGTCAGTCCCTCTCATCCAGGGTCTTCCTTTCTTGTGCTGTCCCTCCACCCTCCCAGGCATGATGTCCCTCTTCAAGGACTGATCTCTCCTTGCAATATGTCCAAAGTATGTGAGACAGAGTTTCAAACACCTTGCCTCCAAGAAGCAGCCTGGTTTCACCCTCTCAAGGATGAACCTATTTGTTCTCCTAGCAATTTATGATATATTGAATACTCTTCTCCAACACCACAGTTCAAAGACCTCGATTCTCCTTCTAGAGAGGCCCTTAGTCCTTTGAAAGGGAATGGAGAGTCCAGGACTGAGGGGATGGGACCCTTTCCCCACTTCCTGCCTTCAGGGGTCCTGCTCCTCCCCTGTTTGTGGCGGCTTCCACATCCTCCAGACAGGGGACTTTTTCTGCTCCACAGGGTCAGACATCCCAGGGGCTCAGCAGCCGCCCCATCTGACTCTCTGTGAGTGTCCTCAGATGACTAACTCACATCCATGCTGATGCTGGAGGGGTCAGACACCAAGCAAGCGATGTGTGGTTGGAGCCCAAACAGGTTCTTAGCTGCTAAATGAAATGTTTGTAGTCTACCCACCCAGAGGAGCCTCAGAAGAAAGGCCTGGCAATCTGCTTCCCAAAGTGAGACTCTTGAGATCCCTGTGTAGCAACCTTGTCTACACACACGGGGTCACCATGAGTGGGAATTCATGCAATGGCAACCGTGTTGTGTGTTTGTCTTTTTTAAAAAGTTAATGTCATATGGGAGCAGTGACAGTTCATAGTAGAATTCATGCAGGAGACTGGGGTTCGATTGCCCGTCAGTGTGCTTCATATACTCTTACTCTGTCTCTGTTGGAGGCTTGTGTGTTGCTAGGATGTGAAACAGGTTTCAGTGGGACTTCCAGACTGAGAGAGACTAGGAGGAAAGGCCTGGCAGTACACTGCCACAAACGAGCTGGTGAAAACCCCGTGGGCCACCACAGTCTGGTCCCACGGTGCACAGAGTAGCTGAGGCTACAGTCGTTAATAACAGCTCTCGTCACTAAATGCCACTTTTTCTAAACAAAGTTTCACTAAATCTTCATCCTCACAAGCAAGTCTAGAACTTATTTACAGCCCTGTTTCTGCCTAATTCTTGGAAAGCTGACGTTAACTCCTGCCACACCGTCCCTTACCTCCTAGGAGGCCCGGTCCCAGGCTGGGAGAGGCCATGTTCAATTTCTCAGTCCAGGAGCGAAGCTCTCCAGCTTCCTGGCCCAGACACATGGAGGCTGTGGTTGTTGGTGGTGCGGTCAATCAGTTCCAACCATTAGTGGTCCTGAGAAGGACAGAAGGAGACACAGGCCGGTTCTGTGCCATCCCCACAGTCCTTGCTGTGTGGGCCCTTTGGGGCAGCCTCTGGGCCACTCAGTCCATCCGTCTGGAAGAGTCTTCCTCTTTCTAGCTGACCGTCCACCTTAATTAACCCGAGTCCTTCTCCAGAGGCTGGCCTGTCCTGATGACAAGTCTGAAGAGCGTCTCCCCGTCCTTGCCTCAAGGAACTCTCTGGCTATACTTCTTTCAGCTCTCTTCAGGGAGCGCTGGTGGTCTAGTGGTGAGAAGCTGTGCTGTAATCTAAAAGGTCTGCGGTTCAAATCCACCAGCTGCTCCATCGGAGAAGGAGGGGCAGCCTGCTCCCATGTGATCTACTATCTCCGAAAACCTGCTAGGGGCTCAGCTTTGGGTCAGTTCTGATTCTACAGTGCAACAACAACATGGTATATTCAACACTCTTCATCAACGCCACAGTTCAAAGGCAGCGATTCTTCTTCAGTCTTTCTTTTTTTTTATTTTTTATTCTTCAGCCTTTCTTATTCATAAAGCAGAAGATTTCCCAATAGTCTTCCTTGTTAAGTATAGACAGGAGAGAATGGACTCCTAGCTGACTTTCCAGTGGGTTTTCATGGGGGGAGGGTTGCCCTTCCTGTTCCTGAAGCAACTGGTGGATTTGAACCACGTGCCTTTGGTTTGGGTGATGCAACTTCTTACCCCTAAGCGGCCATAGCTCCCTTCTCACGTAAAGGATATTGTTATTATTTACAAAACACAACAGGGAGCTCTGGTGGCTTAGTGTGTACGTAGCTGCACTGCTAACCCACACTCTCTGGTGGTTCGAATCCATCATTAGGTTGAATCCACCCCTGGTTCTGTGGGAAAAAGACAGACAATCTCCTCCTATGCAGCTCACAGTCTCGAAACCCAGTGTGTGTATATACATGTCTCTGTCTCTGACTGAGGAGATGTGTACGTGAGTATGCATTTCTGTGCGTCTCTGAGTATGTGTGTATGAAGGTGTGTGAGCACGAGAATCTGTGTGTGCTGGTGTGTCTCTGAGTATGTGATGTGAGTTTGCGTATATGAGAGAGAGTGTATGTGTGTGTGCTTGTGTGTCTCTGTGTGCATAAGAGCATGTGTGCAACAATGTATTTGAATTTTATAAACTAGTAGAAAATAAAAAATAAAAAAGAATTAATAATTATGAATAGTTATTAATAATGATTAATTAATGTATTCTAGCCACCATGTTGTGGCAAACTAGTGATATAGTCCCAGTGACAGCACCTCTACAGGAGAAAGTAGCTGGTCAGTCTTTATAGCCTCAGAAACTCTTGGAAGATCAACTAAAAGTTGATTCTAACTAGGTGGCTAAGAAAATTTTTTTGATGTTTTAAATTATCAGTTTCTTTAAATGTTCTTTATAAAGAATTTTTTTCTTTTCTATTGCTGTTGTTGTTAAGTGCCGTCAAGTCGTAGGCGACTCATAGTGACCCTATGAATGAAAGTCCTGAACACTTGTGTGATTTTCATCCTTTCTCCAGGTTTATGGGGTTTCCAGAGGCAAGCTATTTACGGAAGTGGATGCCACTCCTGCTTCCAAGAGCTCCAGCAAACACTGTCCACCGTGGGTAACCGTTATCGCATTTGACTCATCAGTGTCACAGTGTTCAGGTTCACAGTGACCACAGGTTACTTCTGTACAACAAGTGGACACACCAGGTTGATACAACATAGAAGAATGTTTGACCAAAAACAATGAAAAACATGCCTAATTTACCAAAAAAGTATGTGTGCATGAATGTGCCTCTCTCTCTCTCTCTCCCTTTCTCTCTCTCTCTCTCTGTGTCCATCAGCTCTCTGGGGCTGCCACCAACCACCGGAGTCACTTGGCCTTAATCAAGTCAGGGCTGGCAGGCACTCCCAGAGAGAGGCTGCACCACAGAGTGGAATCCCGGACAGCTGGTCTCGGGGATTGAGAGGACACAAGTATGTCTTGTGGGTCATTGCTTTTTCTGTGGGAGGGAAGGAGGAAGTGTGAGGTGTGTGGGCGGGATGGCCGTGTGTGAGGGTGAGGAGTGGGAAGAGGTAAGAATGGGAAATGGTAAAGGGTGGAGGGTGAGGAGTGGACAGGGGTGTTGAGGGCTGGGGTGGGGAAAAAGTAGTAAGAGTGAGACATGGACGGCAGTGGTGAGGGCTGGGGTAGGGGTGGGAAGTGGGGAGGGTGGATGTGGGTGATAAGGACTGAAGGTGGTGTTAAGAGGTGGGTGGGGAGTGGTGAAGGGTGGTGGTGGTGGGGGGTTCAGGGTGTCGAGTGGATGGGGTGGTGGTGAGGGGGATTGTGGGGGTAGTGGGGGGGGGTGGAGGAGGAAGGTCTTACGGGAAGAGGCTCTGCTAGACTTTCCAAAGGGAACTTCAGCCTCTGAGGAGACTTGAAGCAGGTTGAATTTGGGACTGAGATAAGAAAGAGGTGAAAGAAAACAGAGCATTTGGAAAAACCATTACTATAAAAAAACAATGACATACTACGACAGATTTGAAAGAGGAGCGGCATCCACTTCCTAAACAACATGCCTCCGGAAACTCTATGAACTTGGATAAATGTCGATAGTTGTAGAGGGGTTTCAGGCCTTTTGTTCATAGGGTCGCTATGAGTCGTGCTAAACTTGAAGGCAATCAACAACAAATCTCATCTTCAATGACCGAATGTCAGGAACTGTGTGTCTGTTTTAGAATTCGAAGAACAATGTTAGGAATGCAGAGAAAGCCAGGTGTGGAAGACCGTGACAGCCCCCTGCCTCTCACCCTCTGCCACTTCCCCACCTCACTGGGGGCTGTGCTCCGGGTGGGCAGGTGAGAGTCTTAAACTATCTCTCATGAGGATATACTTCCTCTCCTGAGGCCATTTCCTTTCTAGAATGGTAGGTAAAGTGATCGGAACCTGAGTGGTGCATCTGGAAGGTTGAGGGTTCCAGTCCACACAGGGACACCTGGCCAGAGCTGCTCTTGAGAAAGGAGCCAGGAGACCTTGGAGCGTGCAGTTCTACGCTGCCACCTGTAGGGGCGTCGTGAGCCCGACGTGGCCCCTCACAGCTGGATGCTGTCCCAGGGACTCTCCATGTAGATTCTCCATGGTTCCGAGAAGAGCAGAGCTCTTGAGGGTTTTTCATGGCTGTGAACTCTTCCAGGCGTCTCCAGGTGGTTTTGAACCATCAGTTTTTTAGTTCATAGGCACGTTTAGTCGTTTGCACTACCTATATTTATATAAGGCTCCATCCTTTACAACGCATCTTTGCAGGGTTTTTGTTTTGTTTTGTTATTTCCATTTGACACTTGCAGGAAGGTTAAGTTTGATTAACGACTACTATTTCTTATCAGAGAACCAAATCTCAGAGAGGTGAAGAGAGTCCGCAGCGATCACACAAGCCAGGAGAGGCAGAGACCTTTGCAGGCTCGTTCACGTTGCAACCAGGAAGCACACAAGCCAGCAAGTCATTTGAAGTCCTAAGCCCAGTGTCTGAGCGAGCACGCACACCCTTTCCCTTCTGACCAGGCAAATGAGCAGGGCCTGAGGTCTGAGGTATTCAGCAGAACACAGTCCCAAAGTCCTTGGCTCTCAGCTTTTAAGTGCTGCCCCAAAGTTTGTGCACGTGGTAAACAGTGAGAAACTCTACAGCTCAATTCATAGTGACCTGCAGTCAATTTCCAAGGCTGTAAATTACAAGGGAGGACATTGCCCGTCTTCCTTCTGCCTGCTGTTGGTGGGTTTGAATGTTAGAGAAGCCCCACCTGAACAGCTGTTAAGAGACCACACCACCTAAGCAATGACAAGTGTGTGTAATATTGTCCCCCCCCCAAAAAAAAGGTAAGACCTCTTGCTAACAAGTTAATTCTGACTCACAGCAACCTTCCAGGGAAGGGTAGACGTGCCACGGGGTTTCCAAAGATGCAAATCTTTATGTCATCAGACCTCTACAGCATTCTCCTGTGGAGCAGCTGATGGGTTTGAACTGCATGCCATTTGGTTAGCAGTTTATACTGTAATCACTGGTCCACAAAGACGGGCTACATTAACTATTTGCCTCTGGGAAACGTTCAGCTCCCGACTCAGTTCAGAGGACTGGCAGTCCCTGATCTAGAGCTGGACAGGAGGGAGCAAAGACCAGCCTGAGGTGGATGGTTCTACTTTCCCTCGCTGGCCCCCTCTGCTCTGAGCCCGCACCACCCCGTCCATTCCAATTCCTTCGTCTCTGCCCTCCAGCTCCTCCATCCTCAGACCCCCCCACACACATCTCCTCTAGACTCTCCCTCCTGCAGCCTTCCTGGGCACAGACTCTGCTGACATCAGGGAGCAGGAAGATTGGAGTTCAGGGGTGTGGAGTGCTCACTGCAACTGACTCCTCATTTCCTAAGGAATGCTAAGGATTCTCTGGGAGCATCCAGTGTCATTGAGTGGAGGTGGCCTGGGGCACAGAGCAAAGATGTCCTCACAGTTTAGCACCTCTACTCCTGGGAAGGAAAAGGTAAGAGGTGAGGCAGACAGACAGGCAGGCAGGCACACCTGGGAGAGGAGGCACACCTGATGCTAGAGTTACACCTGATGCCGTGGACTTCGTGGCTTGCCTGCCGAGAGCAGCACCACTCTGCTACAAAGATGATTCACTGCTGGCTGGAGGCAGCAGGGAGACCCCGTCCATGCTGCCCTCTCTGCAGCCTGGCTCCCAGCAGCCCTCAGTCCAGCACCTGCCCCAGAGAGGCCCCCCAGAGGAGGAGTGAGGAGAGCTGTCCACTTCTCATGGAGCAAGATAAGCTTGCTCTGTGTCAGAGGATGTCCTCTGGTCCTTGACCTAGCCCTGGTGACCTTTCCCAAGGCCTTTCTCATCACCACCATCCCTGGGGACCATGCCAAGAAGCAGGAAGCAGCAGGCAGAGACAAGCTTAGGGCGCAGAGCCCTAAGTGCCTTCCTGCATGCCCTCGTCCCTGATTTGCTTCAAGAGTAAGTAAGAAGCGTCTAGCAGACAAGCCTGCAAGCAGCTCACCTCTGTTCCACCTGTGGCCAGCGGCCACCTGAGCGTGGCAACACAGCACCAGCAGCACAGCCTTCCAGGACATCTTCTCCCAGCTCAGCCGACGGGATGCAGCACAGGTCAGTCCCCTCCCCACCCCTCCTCTTCCGAGCCTGTCCCCCGCTCAGGAGGTGGGATGAGCTGAGCAGGTCCCTCTGTGAGCCCTGTCTCCTGGGGCTGGCCCGGGGCTCCACGCCGGGGCTCTGCTTTGAGTGCATCTGTGGTGACTCACGGGGCATGTGACTGCCTTGGCAGAGGGTGGGGAGGCAGAGTTCCTGTGCTTGACTTTCATGTGTTGGATGCGCCCACTGGAATTTTTCTTCAGCAAACAGTCTCGCGGAACTTGCTGGAGAGCGCGGGAAGGAGGGCTGGCTGCTCTCCCTGCTGACCACATGGACCGCACCCAGGCTGGGGCGCAGGCTGAGGGTGGGGGAATGTGGCTGAGCCCCGGCATGCCCGTGAGCTGCCCCTGTCCTGGGGTTCCTGGGACTATCAGTGCCCACAGCTGGGTGCCAGCCGGCCAGATCCAAGAGCCTGCCAAAGGCTCTGAGGGAGCAGAGTGATGGGGTGCGGAGGCGCTGGGGTTTGCTCGTGTGTGGGCAGTGGCTGAGGGGTCTGTAGAGGGGCTGGGGTTTGCTCGCGTGTGGGCAGTGGCTGAGGGGTCTGTAGGTGACATTTAAGACCCGCTCCATCTCCTCTCTGGCTGTGCTTCTACTGGATCCGAAGCCCTATCCACTCTCCCTGGTACGACCACAGTGGTTTCCATGATAATTTCATTTTCCTCTTTTGAACAAATGTGTACTCTTTTAAGCTTCAAGCTTGTGGTAATCTCCAACCCCCCCCCCATGTTCCCTTCAGTGAACACTCATCACATCAAGTAAAATAAAATAATGCAAGCTTTTACTTCTCAAAATGTAATTTTTATGATGCTAATCACCCTTACTTTAGATAACCCTCCCTTTGTCCAACTTACTGTAAGTCTGTTTGTTACCTGGTGAGAAACTTCCCTTCCTTTCCCCCTCCCAGCCCTGGCAGCCCTCAAAGGGTATTTCATTCTGTGTGTGCACTTTCCCTTAGCTTGTTAATAACAACATATCAAGTACAGTGTTGGTCCTGTGTGCCTGCCTTAGTTGGTTCAGCACAGTGCCCTCTGGGCTCATCCATGCTGGTGGTATTTTGGGAATTCTTCCTTTTTCTTTAACCTTATACAGTATTCCATTGTGTATGTACCAGTTTATCCATTCATCTGCTCTTCCATGACCATTTTAAAAGCATTCCTGTTGAGGATGTGAATAGATACCTCACCAAAGAAGACATTCAGTTGGCCAACAGACACGTGAAGAAATGCTCAAGATCATTAGCTATTGTTGCTGTTGTTACTGTCGAGTCAGGACCAACCCATAGCTGACCTCCAGTAGGTTTTCAGAGGCGGTAAATAGGAGGAAATTGTCCCTCTGTCCCTTGTGGAGCAGGTGGTAGGTTTGAACCATGTACCTTTGCGTTGGCAGCACAATTACTTTACACTAAGCTCTCAGAAATCATCCATTTTCTCCTCTTTGGCTATAGTTGTTGGTGCATAAATTTGAATTATAGTGGTAGTAACAGGTCTTCCTTGTATATGTATGGATATTATCCTGTCATTCACAATATTGTGACACATTATTTCAAGATAGATCCAGAAACAACCTTTTTAACTATGAAAGCAACTTCATTTTTCCTCACCTTTTAACCTCCAGTGTAGTAGACAATAAGGACATCTGATTAAAAATGTCCTATGACAGTCCATCTCATTTCGCTAATACCTAATATGTCAACATTTATGCGTTCCATTTCTTAACAATGTCCAGTTTTCCTACATTCATGCTTCTCACATTCCACGTTCCTGTCATTAGTTTCTTCTTACAACTATTCCTTCTCCTTTGTGTTTCCAAATTTGAGGGTTCAGCCTCAGTTGCCATATCTGGTAGTCTGTGTACTCTACTGTACACAGGAGGCCTGTTATGTTTCAGAAGTGAATGGCCAACCCTTCTTCCTAATCTGTTTTAACATCTGATCTTTTAATATCAGCAGTCAGGAAATAAAAAGACAAATTACACTGGTAAAATCTGCTGCCAGAGACTTCTCTAGAGTACTGAAAAGCAATGATGTCAGTCTAGAGACTAAAGTGCACCTAATCTAGGCCATGATTTTCACAATTACCTGCTATGCATCAGAGAGCTGGACAATGACTAAAGATGACAGAAGAATTTATGCCTTCAAATTATGGTGCTAGAGAAAAGTCTTAAACATACCATGGACTGCCAAGAAAACAAATTGGTCTGTCCTGGAGAGGATGAAACCAAGATTCTCCTTGGAGGCTAGGATTTTGAAACTCTGTCTCACATACTTTGGGCATGTGACAGAAGGGATTGGTCTTTGGAGAAGGACATCATGCTTGGAAGGGTAGAGGAACAGTGCAGGAGAGGAAGACCCAAGATGAGATGGATTGATACTATAACTGGGGCAATGGGAGATAGTGTGTCAGAATTGGTGAGACTAGCTCAGGACAGGGCAGGCTTCAGAGCTGCTGTACGTAGGGTTGCAGGTGAAATAATGGCACATAACAACAACAACAACAAGCCATCAGAGCTCACCATTACCTGTTGTTGTTCGGTACCATCGAGTATGACTCATAGTGAGCCTGTGAAGAACAGATCTGAACCCTGTTCTATCCTGTGCCATTCTCACAGTCCTTGACAAGCCCATTGCTGTACTCACTGTGTCAGTACAGCTGGTTGAGGGTCTTCCTCTCCTTCATGGTTCCTCCACCTTTCCAAGGAATAGCCTCTTCTAGAAACATGCCCAGAGTATGTGAGATGGAGAATTAGTTGTTAGAAAGATGCAAATAAAAATAACAATGCGATATTATCTCACCCCAGCAAAAACAGCAGTGTTCAGCAGGCAGAAACAACAAAGGCTTCATCTCTAAAATGGGCTGGTCCTAGTGTCTTCATCATAGGCTTGCTGAAGAGTACATGTCTGTAGTGCTACAGGGAGTTCTGGTGGCCTAGTGGTAAGAAACCCGCGCTGCAGTCCCAAAGGCTGATGGTTCAAATCCACCAGATGCTCTGTGGGAGAAGGATGGACAGTGTCCTCCGTTGAAATTTACTGCCTCTGAAAACTTGCTGGAAGGTCGGCTATGGGTCAATTCTGACTCAACAGCAAACAACAATAACGATGAGGAATAAAACTCCAAACCAAACCCAGTGCTGGAAATTCTGACTCACGTCCACACTCCCTCCATCAGGTTTCTGAGGCTGTAAGTCCTAACAGGGGCAGGTTGCCCCCTCTTTCTTCCCTGGAACAGCTGATGGATTCAAACCATCAACTCTCTGGTTAATAGCCTAGCGCCTAACCGACAATACCACCAGTGGCCCCGGTGAGAGGTAAGTCCTGTGTGTACACAGCACACACTAAGCTTTCAGAGGGCACTCTGGTTACCTAGTGGTAAGGAATTGCACTGTCACCCCAAAGGCATGTGGTTCGAGTTCACCAGCTGCTCCTCAGGGAAAGATGGACAATTAACTCCCATGGGATTTCCTGCCTCTGGAAACCTGCTGGAGGATCAGCCGTGGGTTGGTTCCAACTCGATGGTGCACAAGTATTCAGTACACAGTTGCTGCTTTAGTTCACATGTAAAGAAAGTCTCAGAAGAGCTCACAGTCACGCAGTGTGACAGAGCTGGGATTTGAACCTGGTCTGTGACCTGGCAGGGACGGGAGGGCGTGAATGCTAGACCTGTCTTTCCCACTCTCTGATCTCCTCGGCCTCCCGTTAGTCTATCTCTCTGGCAGGCAGAGGTCACAGGAGCTTGGTGACGTGGACGCTGGTTAGGGTGCTGGGTCCACAATCAGTGGGCCTGGACGTCGAGCAGGGTGGGTCCATCCATGAGGTCAGTGGGTCTGGAGGTCGAGCAGGGTGGGTCCATCCGTGAGGTCAGTGGGTCTGGAGGTCGAGCAGGCCGAGGGTCCATCTGTGAGGTCAGTGGGTCTGGAGGTCGAGCAGG